AATTCAAGAACAAATGCACTTATTTTGAGAAAAAAATTACTTTTTTGCAGTGTGATCTGCCGACGGAACGAGGATTTGTCCTCTTAGAATAAGATAATTGGATAATGTGCACCTAAAATAAGACAATGCAATTGTTTGTTCTTATTTTAAATGTAAATTGTCTTGTTTCGTTGGCAAAATGTCTCTTTTTCCTCCTCAATTCAAGAACAAATGCACTTATTTAGAATTCAGTGTTTTGCAGTGTAAAGAGCCCGGTTAACCCAGGTTAGGGCAACTAACCTCATGCAGAGAATTGTCCCAATTTTGGAAACATGAAATTGATAAGATCCTCACTGCAAAAAAAAAAAAAAAATATCTCAATAAGTGATTTTTTTCCTAAATTAAGTGCATTTTTTCTTGCATTGTTTTATTTCAGGTGCATATTATCTAATAATCTTATTCTAAGAGGACAAATCCTCCTTCCATTGGCAGATCATCTTATTTACCTGCTCAAATTAATGGTAAATACATTCATTTAAGACATTTTTGCTCATTTCTAGATGTCTTTGCACTTATTTTAAGACTTATTTCCTGTTTTTGCAGTGTAAAGGCAAACCTCAGAGCGCTCATGGAGAGCGAGCCTCAGCAACACGCCACTGAGGTTGGAGTAATCAGATCCAGGCGGTGTCACGCTTCACCTTTCCATCCGTAACCTTAGCAAATATAGCCGGGCTTATCCAGACACCTGTGAGCTGTCCGTCAGCAGCAGCCGCCATCTTTAAGGTCAGATAATAACAGCTTCGACATTCAAAGCTAAAGAACGCCTCTGGATGCAGCTCTACAAACACGAGGATTAGCAGACTCATTCTAACACAATTATTTCTATTTAGAACAATATGTTGTGAACAAAGTCATTATTAAATTACAGGAATAAAGTTAGAATTTGATAAAAAAGAATGAAGTCATAAGAACTTTAAGAAAAGAAATACACATTTAAAAAATGTAAGTTGTCATTTTATGACATTAGAAGATTATGTTTAACTTTTTTAGAATAAATTCATACATTAAAGCTGCAACAATATTAAATTTAGACTAGAATAGAATTCAACTTTATTGTCATTGCACGATTACAAAGCAACAAAATGTGGTTAGAATGAAGTTAAAAGAAAAAAATAACTTGTTTACATGTCTGGTAAATACAACTATTCCTTATTTCTGCACATTAATGATGTTTTTGATAAAAATCCTTTGTCTAAAATGCCATCAGATAATATTAAGTGTGTCTTGTATCTATGCTTCTTTTTCTATGTCTGCTTCTGTCTCCTTGAACCCCAGTGGGCCTCAGCAGATGGC